TAAACTTTGGTCAACAGCTTTTTGCTCCAGTTGGTGGCTGGACTCCTTCTTTTATTCCGCAGGGACCTGCGGGCTCTGCCCAGGCTGAGCAGCCTCACACCTAGATTTTTCCATAACAGTTATTTATATGAATTTTTTATTTATTTATTTGTCCATGCCTCCCACAAGGTTGGTCACTGTTGTAAATAAAAATTGCCCTTTTCCCTTATGGGGTATCCAAGAGCCCATATAGAGTCCTTACATAGGTTCCCTATTGGTAGGAGAAAAATAACAGAGGCCAAGCAGAGAATATTGAGAAGCAAAGCAGCTAGTAAGCCTGATCTTTATTGATCTGTTGCAACAGGGTGCTCCCCTCACCCACAGGAGAGAGGAGGGACCCAGAAAAATGTCATGGAAGGCCTTATAAAGACTTTTGAAATTCCCTGTAGATCAGGACCACCCCCAGAAACATCATACATACATCACAGAAGGGGTGTAACCTAAGACCACCCCCAGAAACATCAAACCTACATCACAGAAAAGGCGGTCTAAACAGAAATTTTGAATGTTGTCTTTCTCCTGTCGTTGTTTATCTCCTGTCTGGCAGGTTACTTGACTGGATACCCTGGGGAGCCTGGCCAGTCTTTTGTAATGATAAATACTTAGTTCCTGGGCCAGGTCACAGGCTCACACCCTATTCATATCTTAAATGTGCCCTTAAGACAGGATTTGTGAGGAAAGAGACAATGGGAAGTTTCCCACTTTGACCTTGCAGAGAAAACATTTGCTCAGCTTAGGAATCAAAATGGCTTCAGGTGCTGATCTATGTACAGTGGTGCCTTGCAAGACGAAATTAATTCGTTCCGCGAGTTTTTTCGTCTAGCGAATTTTTCGTCTTGCGAAGCACGAAATCCCATAGGAATGCATTGAAATTCAATTAATGCGTTCCTATGGTCAAAAAAAGTCCAAACAAAGCCAAATTTGGTACAACAAGAGTTTATTAAGTGCTCTTTAAAGTCACACCCACCACACAGAAATTCAAATCCTGAATTTTTTTAAAAAAACAGCAGAGTGGCCCAATGGTCACAGAAAATCATAAAAATGCAGAAAAAAACCACACAAGCTTCCAGATTCTTGCAAACCCCTCCCCAACTGTTCCCCCAGCCACCCACCACACAGAAATTCAAATCCAGAATTTTTAAAAAAAAAACAGCAGAGTGGCCCAATGGTCACAGAAAATCATAAACATGCAGAAAAAACCACACAAGCTTCCAGATTCTTGCAAACCCCTCCCCAACTGTTCCCCCAGCCACCCACCACACAGAAATTCAAATCCAGAATTTTTTAAAAAAACAGCAGAGTGGCCCAATGGTCACAGAAAATCATAAAAATGCAGAAAAAAAACCACACAAGCTTCCAGATTCTTGCAAACCCCTCCCCAACTGTTCCCACAGCCACCCACCACACAGAAATTCAAATCCAGAATTTTTTAAAAAAACAGCAGAGTGGCCCAATGGTCACAGAAAATCATAAAAATGCAGAAAAAAACCACACAAGCTTCCAGATTCTTGCAAACCCCTCCTCAACTGTTCCCCCAGCCACCCACCACACAGAAATTCAAATCCAGAAATTTTTTTAAAAAACAGCAGAGTGGCCCAATGGTCACAGAAAATCATAAAAATTCAGAAAAAAATGCACCCTGGGTATTAACGGTTTTACGAAAAAGGAAACAAACTTGCAAGACGTTTTCGTCTTGCGAAGCAAGCCCATAGGGAAATTCGTCTTGCGAAGCAGCTCAAAAAACGCAAAACCCTTTCGTCTAGCGAGTTTTTCGTCTTGCGAGGCATTCGTCTTGCGGGGCACCACTGTACGTGCTTGGCTGGTACGCTTATGAACATTACCATATATCTAAGACCATAAAATTCCTATCACATCCCGTAACCAGGTTGGTCACATAACCAGGCCAATGTGCTCGGAAGAAGAACGACTGTACCATTTCCCCTTCCCTCAAGTCACATTCATTCCAAAATCCCTCCAAAAGCCAAACACTTTCCATGAAAACGCTCCCTGGCCGCTGGAAAGCAGAAGAGGAAGATTTCGGCAGAGCAACATGTTTTGAAATTCTCTTAACCGTTTTTTCCTCTAATTAACAAGGATCCCTTCCCTCCACAAACATTATCTTCAAAGAGGGTAATTTGCTTAGCTTTGTTGGGGGAGGGGAGAAAATCCCATTTGCAAAGTTAATGGAAGTTTACGCTTGAGAGGGGCAAATTGTTGCCTGGGCTAACACCCAGGCCATTATCGAAAACAAGAGAACGTTCCCTAAATGTGGAGGGGGGAAGTTCTGAAATGAGAGGTGGTGAGAATTAGGAATGCATGGAACCAGTTTTCTGTAGCCTTTTCTTTCTAATCTCTCTGTGACCTACATCAGCAGTATTTGTCAAAATGCTTGAATCAATTGTAAAAGCGGGAGTTTCTCTGAGCATATGCAGAGTGATTTCCTTCTTGTGCTCAGCGGACAAAATTTGCACCTGCCTCCCTCAACTTTTTTGTTGTTGTTTAGTCATTTAGTTGTGTCCGCCTCTTCGTGACCCCCTGGACCAGAGCACGCCAGGCACTCCTGTCTTCCACTGCCTCCCGCAGTTTGGTCAAACTCATGCTGGTAGCTTCCAGAACATTGTCCCACCATCTCATTCTCCTTGTGCCCTCCATCTTTCCCAACATCAGGGTCTTTCCCAGGGAGTCTTCTCTTCTCAGGAGGTGGCCAAAGTCTTGGAGCCTCAGCTTCAGGATCTGTCCTTCCAGTGAGCACTCAGGGCTGATTTCCTTCAGAATGGAGAGGTTGGATCTTCTTGCAGTCCATGGGACTCTCAAGAGTCTCCTCCAGCACCAGAATTCAAAAGCATCCATTCTTCGGCAATCAGCCTTCTTTATGGTCCAGCTCTCACTTCCATACATCACTACTGGGAAAACCATAGCTTTAACTATACAGACCTAAGTCCCTCAACTTAGTGCCCTCCAGATGTTTTCGGGAAGGCTGAGAGTAGTATAGGGAGCCTGCCTCCTGTCAGATTGCAGAAGTCCCACCCCTTTTGAGGCTAATTGATGATGTCACAGGACGTCCTGCCGCAGATGTTGAACCAGTTCCAGTCAGAGTGCATAGCAGTCCAGAACTGCTTCAAAGCTTCACCCTATTGGGCCACTGCGGCATGACCTCACTGTAGAGGGGGTCACATGCTTTGATGTGGCCAATCACGTCCCATATTTTGACTTAGAAGAATACAACTTTGTACCATTGATCCATCGGTCCATCGCATGCTCACAGAGGGTCCATGCACCTTGCGTATCCTGGATTCTACCACAGGGGAGACAGAACATCTAGGGCAGGGGTCAGCAAATTTTTTCAGAGGTGGGCCGGTCCACCATCCCTCAGACCATGTGGTGGGCTGGACTATATTTTGGGGAAAAAATGAATGAATTCCTATGCCCCACAAATAACCCAGAGATGCATTTCAAATAAAAGGACACATTCTACTCATGTAAAAACACCAGGCAGGCCCCACAAATAACCCAGAGGTGCATTTTGAAATAAACTCAGTCAAGAGTGGATTTCATGCTCTTTATTCAGCTCATAGTAGTGAGGAGGAATGGAAGTTCCCCCAGAATGTCTGCTTTATATACATTATTTACACAATGGGCTCCATGTGATTGGCTAATTCCAGGATTCACCTGTAGGCCAATCAGGTTGCAGATTCACTTCCACCTGGAGCTGGATTGGGTGGCTCCTGTGGACCAATCAGGCTGCTGTATTCTGGACCCTATTGTTCTAGGCCCAATCAGACTGCTGCATTCTGAATGCTATTGTTCTAGGACCAATCAGACTGCTGCATTCTGGATCCTATTGTCCTAGGCCCAATCAGACTGCTGCATACTGAATGCTATTGTTCTAGGCCCAATCAGACTGCTGCATTCTGAATGCTATTGTTCTAGGCCCAATCAGACTGCTGCATTCTGGATCCTATTGTCCTAGGCCCAATCAGACTGCTGCATTCTGAATCCTATTGTTCTAGGCCCAATCAGACTGCTGCATTCTGAACCCTATTGTTCTAGGCCCAATCAGACTGCTGCATTCTGGATCCTATTCAACTCAGTACCTAATACATTTTAAATAAAAGGACACATTCTACTCATGCAAAAACACGCTGATTCCTGGACTGTCCGTGGGCCGGATTGAGAAGGTGATTGGGACCACAACTCCCAGGAAGGGGCTTCCTGTGGATGCCATCAATCAATCTCAAAGGGAGTGGGACTTCCAGTATTAGAAAGGAGGCATGCTGCCTCTACTACTCCCAGCCTTGCCCAAAACTTCTGGAGGGCAGTAACTCAATGAATCACAGAATCATAGAATTGGAAGGGGCCACAGGGGTCATCTAGTCCAACCCCCCGCAATGCAGGAACATTTTGCCCAAGGAGGGACTCAAAACCATGACCCTGAGATTAAAGGGGTCTCCTGCTCTACCAGCTGAGCTAAGGAAGGCTGAGTCTTCTCTCTCAGGTGTGAGCTGGGAAACCACTCTGCATATGCTCAGAGAAACTCACGCTTCTATAATCAAGTCACGTATTTCAAGAAAGAAGAGGGGGAGGGTGGCATAAGGTGTGTGTGATGGGCACTTGAACAGAGGACACCCAAGAAGAAAGGAGGTGATGGTCAGGAGTTCAGCCTACACTCGAGTAGGACCCTGGCAGAGACACTTGCCGGCAGCGAGCCCCCGCACCACAAATACGACCCAGAGCTCAGCCCTGAAAAACACTCCAGACCTCCTTTCAGAATAGATTAACAAACAAACGCTATCGAGATCGGCTTTGCAGAAGCCCCTAAAACATCAGTCAATGTTTTATTTGTGTTCAATTCCGCTTGCGAGGCAATGGGGTTGGGAGGCTGTCTGAGGCTAAACAAATACCTCCTCTGCCTCCTCGGATGATTAAATATCTCAGAACTTAATTAAAGAGAGTTTGGGGCTTTTTTAAAAAAAAGCAGGAGGTGGATGGGTGAGGAGAGGACATCGTGCAGCCTTTGAACAGCAGAGAGAGCAGAAAGGCCGTCTTCACCCGTCAGTGACGGGTCACCGGCAGCGGAGGCAAAGGCAGGCGCGAGATGGGCCGGTGGGATCTGGGATTGGCACGGATCAGGAAACAGCTGGGCAGAGGCTGGGTCATGGGACGGTCAGGGATTCTTCCAAAGGGAGCAAGAGGCAAGGCGAGGAGGCAGCAGATCAGCGGGGAGGGAGCCAGTTGGCTGGCGGCAGATGCAAGCAGGAAAGTTGGAAAGCAAGCTGGCAGGAACATCAAAGGAAAACCCTGCTGGAGAAAGCCAAAGGTCTACCTCACAGAACCCAAGAGTTGGAAGGGACCTCTCAGGGTCATCTAGTCCAACCCCCTGCGATGCAGGAATATGCAGCTGTCCCATATGGCGTCAACGGCTTCAAGAAAGGAGATTCCGACTCAACATCAGGAAGAACTTTCTGGCGATAAGAACTGTTTGACGGTGGAACGGACTCTCCTTCCTTGGAGGTTTTTAGACAGAGTGTGACAGCCTGGGATTCAGACTCGGAGGCTGAACCTGAGGGATCCCAGCCTGCACAGGAGTCCCCGCCTCCAGAACCAGCTGAGCCGGGGCTGGGGCCTGAGCCTGAAGGGTCCTCACCTGTGCTGGATCCTCAGGTGCAGGCACCAGCTGAGTCTGCTCTGGCTCCGGAGGTGGTGGAGGACCCATTGCCTGCAGGTGCTCCACTCTCAGCCCCGTCAGGGGAAGGTGAGGTTGCCTCTGGGTCCGGTCACCCTCCAGCCTCTCCTGAGCTGCAGAGGCTCAGGGCAGAGAGACGGAGGGAACTAAGTTCCCGCAGGAGGAGTGCCAGGAGAGGCGAGTCACCTGAGGACCGGGGCTGCCCTGTGCCTCGGGGCAGATAAAAGCCAGTCAGCCCCATTCCCAGGTTGCGGGAGCAACTTTGTTGGTTGTCAGTTCCTGCCTAAACCCTGTCCTGCAATCCTGCCGGAGCTCCTGACCTCACCTGCACCCAGCTTCAACTTTTATGGACTGCCTCCATACTGCACCTTCGACCTTGGACTGGACTCGGACCTCGCCTCCCGGTTAGCCCACGGGACCACCACACATAATAATAATAATAATAATAATAATAATAATAATAATTTATTATTTGTACTCCGCCCATCTGGCTGGGTTTCCCCAGCCACTCTGGGCAGCTTCCATAGAAACCATAAATACACTAAAATATCACACATTAAAAACTTCCCTGAACGGGGCTGCCTTAAGACGTCTTCTGAATGCCAGGTAGTTGTTTATTGCTTTGACATCTGATGGGAGGGCGTTCCACACGGCGGGTGCCACTACCGAGAAGGCCCTCTGCCTGGTTCCCTGTAGTTTTGCTTCTCGCAATGAGGGAACTGCCAGAAGGCCCTCGGCGCTGGACCTCAGCGTCCAGACAGAACGATGGGGGTGGAGACGCTCCTTCAGGTATACTGGGCCGAGGCCGTTTAGGCCCTTTAGGCCCACACAGAGGTTGGATGGCCATCTGCTATGCATATCTCCTCTCAATCTCCTATTTTCCAAGCTGAACATACCCAGTTCCCTCAACCGTTCCTCATATGGCTTGGTTTCCAGACCCTCGATCTTCTTGTTTGGTCTCCTCTGCACACCTTCCAGCTTCTCAACACCCTTCTTAAATTGTGGTGCCCAGAACCAACCGGCATTTGTGTGCTGGGTCCGGGGGTAACCCTTGAAACATAGTCCAGGACCGCTCCAGAATCTGGAGGTTCCGCTAGGAGTCAGTCCGACAGAGCCAAGGCAGGACACCAGGTGAGGACAGGTACAGGATCTGGCAAACAGCAATGTTGCTCCCGCAACCTGGGGCAGGGTCCGACAGCCATTTATCTCTGTCGGGGTAACGGCCGGTCCTGATCCCCCGACGACTCACCTCCCTGTTTCACCCGAAGGCGAGCACTCCTGTGAGTACTCAGGTCTCCCTTCTCTCAGACCTCAGTCTCTGCAGCTCGGGAGACGTCAGTGGGTTACTAGACCCAGGGGCCGCCTCAGTCTCCCCTGACCCAACCAGTAGTGGAGCAGCTGTAAGTGATGGCCCAGCTGGAGGCAACAAGGGAATCCCCGCATCTGGAGCCAGGGCAGGCTCAGGCCCCGGACTCGGCCCAGCTGGTGTTTGTTGCAGGGGAACCTGTGCCGACTGGGACTCTTCAGGATCAGGCCCCAGACTTGGTTCAGATGATGCCTGAGGCAAATGATCCGGTGCAGACTGAGTCTCCTCTGGTTCCGAGTCCGAGCCTGAGTCCCAGGCCATCACAATTCCAACTCAAGCTTCTGGGAAATGATTTATAACGAGTTAAAAAAAATGTTGAAAAATACATTTGTAAAGAAACCAGAAGCCTTTTTACTTGGAATAATAGGAGTGGAATTGCCCCAAAGAAGATGTTAGATTATTTTTGTATGCCACTACAGTGGCAAGACTGCTATTAGCTAAAAATTGGAAATCTCAAGAAATACCAACGGTAGAAGAATGGCAGATGAAGATGTTGGAGTTTTTGGAGCTGGCAGACAAAGAATCTGCGATCAGAAAGAAGAGGAATACCAAGAAGACTGGAAGAAATTTTAAGATTATTTAGTTAAATATTGTAATATAAGAGAAGTAGAAAACACTTGAAAGTACCAAACAGGCCTAGGATCAGAATAAGAAAGTTGTATGTTGTATGAGGCAAAGGATCTGGTGTGGACTGAGTCTCCTCTTGTTCTGAGCCCGAGTCGCAGGCCATCACAAATACCCAATTCCCTCAACCATTCCTCATATGGCTTGGTTTCCAGACCCTCTAGTTTGGCCTCCTCTGCACACCTTCCAGCTTCTCAACATCCATCTTAAATTGTGCTGCCCAGAACCAACCATCATTTGCTCCTCATGGTCCAGAAGTACAGCCTTAAGTCTGGAGGTGTGCTGTGGAGCAATGAGGCCATACGTTTGACTTCTCTGTAACCATTGGGTTTCCAGGTTCTGAGTCCATTCCCCTCTGGGTGTTAATACCGGGTTTTCCCCACTGCCACCGTTGAATCCAGACAGTCTCTCCCGGCCCAAGTGAAACGACACCAGCGATATTCCTGGTGGGGGGATCTCTTGGGCACACCTTAGACCAAAAACACTGCAAATCTGCCCAGCTTGCCTTTCATCTTTGGCGATGCTCTCTGAGCCGTCCCAGCCTATAAAAAGACTTAGTGAAAAAATCTCTCTCCTAAACAGGGGAAGGTTTTGTATCGACTGTGTCTGGCTGACATTTTGCATGGATCGTTAGCCGGTGGATAGAGATGTTTCTGCAGCAGTAACGGAGGACGTGGCACAGTTACAACTCGCGGAAAACAAAGAGGTTTCAGGGAAACGAGAAAGTGCCTTTGGGGGTGTTCTATAGCGCTCAGAAATTGCTTGCACACTTCCTATAGGAGCGCCCCATTTTAACACTGCTGGACTGGGTGGGTCACTGGCATGATCCAGAAAGCTCTCCAAAGTAATAATTACATTTGGCACAAATTACATTTGTGCAGAAGCCGATGGAATAACAGAATCTGTAGAGTTGGTGCATCTCTGGGTTATTTATGGGGCCTGCCTGGTGTTTTTACATGAGTAGAATGTGTGCTTTTATTTAAAATGCATCTCTGGGTTATTTGTGGGGCATAGGAATTCATTCATTTACCGTATTTTTCGCTCTATAAGACGCACCAGACCACAAGACGCACCTAGCTTTTGGAGGAGGAAAACAACAACAAAAATATTCTGAATCCCAGAAGCCAGAACAGCAAGAGGGATTGCTGCGCAGCAAAAAAGCAGCGATCCCTCTTGCTGTTCTGGCTTCTGGGATAGCTGCGCGGCCTGCATTCACTCCATAAGACCCACACACATTTCCCCTTACTTTTTAGGAGGGAAAAAGTGAGTCTTATAGAGCAAAAAATACGGTATTTATTTTTCAAAATATAGTCCGGCCCCCCACAAGGTCTGAGGGACAGTGGACCGGCCCCCTGCTGGAAAAGTTTGCTGACTCCTGAACCGGCGCAGCCTTTTGGAAAATTTCGGAATGCTCCCCTCTCATGCGCACAGTTCCTCCCCTGACCTGACAGAGGGGAAAAGAGGGAGAGAGAAAGTGAGAAAGAGAAAGAGACTGTGTCTGGTGACCATCTTGTGGCAGAAGCACATTTCCCCATGGCCAGGCTGCTTCTGCAAAGCCTGGATCTTCTCAGCCCGAGCGAAAATCCACAGCCAAGATCTCATTTGTGAGTGAACACCTGTGAACAAAAGCTCTGCCTTCCCTCCCCTGACGGTGCCGAAATCTTCCAGCCACGCCGAGCTGCCATGAGACTCGTTTTCCATTTTCACCTTCAAGCGGTCCCACCAACGTGCAAGAATCAAAAAATATAAAGCAGGCAGTCATTTTGCGTCACTTGAGGCAGAGGAACTGAGAGAGGAGCTGAATCATTCCTGGAGTCATGGAATTGTTGAGCTGGAAGGGACCTCAGAGGCCATCTAGTCCAACCCCCTTGCGATGCAGGAATCTCATCCACGACAGACAGTGTTCAAAACTCCCATTGTTCCAGGCACATTTTGTGACAGGGTATTTCATTACCGTGAGCAGTTTCTGAACTATGGGCGCAGAACTGAACCTAAGATTTCAGATTAAAAACGCAGAGTGGAAGGAAAGGAGGAGCTTTTCCTGCCTCCCCACTTCCAGCTACTCTCTGAAGACTGGAGAAGAGACTCTCTTAAGAATATCGGGGAGGTGGGCACAGAAAGGACTAGACCAAGTGAAAAAGGAACATAATATTTTAGCTGCAGTTCCTTCATTTTCAGCTTTGTATTCTTCTTATAAAAAAGCCTGCCTAGATATTGCGGTGTTGCACCCATAACCTGGGTTTAAGGTGCCATTTAGCTCCTAGCTTTCATATCTCAGTTTCTAACACTGATGGTGTCACAGTCCGGTCTACGGGCGATCGAAGTCCCAGCTGAGGACGTCGGGACCGGGGGCAAGAGGGCGGGTTGGGAGCAGGAATGAGAGTCCAGAAGCCGAGGGTCCAAGGGTCGAGAAGCAAGGAGTCACGAAGTCAGGGGTCCGAGGATCAGGAAGCAAGAAGCCAAACGCAGCAAGGCAGGAAACGTGTTGCTGTGGCAAAGAGCCGAAGGGAAATGCTGACCTTATATCCCTTCCCGGCTCTTGCCACCAGGTGCAGTGAGTTACCAAGCGGCCTCACCTGTGCGGCCGTGCCTTGCCTCTCCAGAACAAACTTAGGAAGGCCCCAGTCCTGCAAAGTCCTACTGGTCCCAGGGCCTGGCTCCTGCGTGCACTCCTGACAGATGGGTACCAAACCTCTGCTTAAAAACCTCCAAGGAAGAAGAGTTCACCACCTCCCAAGAAAACCTATCCCACTAACAGCTCTTCCTGTCAGCAAATTCTTCCTGATGTTGAGTCGGAATCTCCTTTCCTGTACTTGAAGCTATGGGTTCGAGTCCTACCCTTCATAGCAGGAGAAAACAAGCTTGCTCCATCTTCCATGCGGCAGCCCTTGAGATATTTGTGAAGATGGCTATCATATCTCCTCTCGGTCTCCTCTTTACTAAGCTTACCCAGCTCAACACCCTCAACCATTCCTCATCAGGCTTGGTTTCCAGACCCTTCATCATCCTGTTCGCCCTCCTCTGCACACGGTCCAGCTTGTCAACATCCTTCTTAAACTGTAGAGTTCTCCCTGCCCTGTCAGAAGCTATATTCCACTGAATGTGAGCTGTTGGGACCCGCAGATGGGGAGATATGCTGTCCCACTCAAGACCTAGATCTGGATTTCCCATTGGAGTATCTGTTTGGCCACTGTGAGAACAGGATACTGGGTTTTGTGGGCCACTGGCCTGATCCTGCAAACCTCTTTTTGATGTTCTTACTAAAGCAAGACGCGGGTGGCGCTGTGGGTTAAACCACAGAGCCTAGGACTAGCTGATCAGAAGGTCGGCAGTTCGAATCCCCGCGACGGGGTGAGCTCCCATTGCTCGGTCCCTGCTCCTGCCAACCTAGCAGTTCGAAAGCACATCAAAGTGCAAGTAGATAAATAGGTACCACTCCGGTGGGAAGATAAACGGCGTTTCCGTGCGCTGCTCTGGTTCGCCAGAAGCGGCTTAGTCATGCTGGCCACATGACCCGGAAGCTGTACGCCGGCTCCTTCGGCCAATAAAGTGAGATGAGCGCTGCAACCCCAGAGTCGGCCATGACTGGACTTAACGGTCAGGGGTCCCTTTACCTTTACCTTTGCTAAAGCAATGAACACAATCATTTCTTTTAAAACCCTTGGGGAAAGGGGAGGATTTTGAACCCGTGACAAAACCTCAGCATTGAAAGTAGGGCCTTGGGGAGAAACTCTCCCGCTAAACCTCAGGGTGTTGTTTTTTCCCCAAAATTTGCACTGGCCAAGAAACTGTCGCCCCTCCTCTTCACCCCCCCCAAAAAAAAATCCCCAGCAAATTAAAGAGCTCTTATTATTGAAGGTTTCAGGACCAGGGAGAGCTCCTGTGGATTTCAATTTATAGTGCAAATAGATTTAATGAGCACCTTCAACTCCTGTAAGCATAAATAGGCACCAACCTCCGCCTCCTTCTCCCTGGCCTTGTTCACTGGAATGAATTAACCCCATAGATAATGGGGCACATCTGGGAGGTTCTGCCTCGCAAGCTTGTGATTAAGTAAATGGTTTTGCTTTCCGTGTGTGTGTGTGTGTGTCCAAGCACATATTTCTCATGTGCAAGGAAAGAGTTTTGGGGGGCGCTGGTATTGTTGTTTTTTTGGTGTTTTCATTTATTTATTAAAAATGCCTAGGTAATGAAAGCGCACTGAAGTGGATAAATTGCACAAATCCTGCACTCAACACATGCACTTTGGAGAACTGAGGGCCAATTATGCAAAAAAGTAGAAAGGTACTATACTGGCATAAATTCTTCCAAGCCGGGATTATTATTTCTTCCTCCTCCTTAAAGGAGCATTTTAATGAGTGGCCCCCTCTGCCAAAGATCTAATGGGTTGTTTCAGATTCCCTGCCTTGCTTATCACCCCTCCAGCTCCACAGCATTCCCTCCCCTTCTCTACATTTTAAGACCCCCATGATATTGCGGAGACGCTGGTAAAATGTGGACTGGATGAGGTTATGGTTAGGCGGATTTGTAGCTGGTTGACTGTCGGAACTCAAAGAGTACTCCTTAATGGTTCTTCGTCATCCTGGAGAAAAGTGACGAATAGGGTTCTGTCCTGGGCCCATCGTTGTCCAACTTCTTTATAAATGACTTGGATGGGGAGCTGGGCGGAGCCTCTTTTTCATTCAGCCACCGAGGAGCAGCCATGGTGGAGCCAAAGGTATTGGTGATTGATGGACGTGGCCACCTGCTGGGTCGTCTGGCTGCCATTGTGGCTAAGCAAGTCTTGCTGGGGCGCAAAGTGGTAGTCGTGCGAGGTGAAGGGATCAACATACCTGGCAACTTCTACCGTAACAAACTGAAGTACCTTGCTTTCCTGCGTAAGCATATGATATGAATGCCAACCCATCCCGTGGTCCTTACCACTTCCGTGCCCCTAGCCGGACCTTCTGGAGGACCCTGATGTTGGGAAAGATGGAGGGCACAAGGAGAAGGGGACGACAGAGGACGAGATGGTGGGACAGTGTTCTTGAAGCTACAAACATGAGTTTGACCAGTGGAAGACAGGAGGGCCTGGCGTGCTCTGGTCCAGGGGGTCACGATGAGTCGGACACGACTAAACGACTAAACAACAACAGCCCATGAGGCTGAGAAATTGATGGACTAGGCAGAACTGGCAAAATTGACAGACAAACTACATGACAAGGATAACTGTGATTTTAAATATGAACGGGAACCCTTTACAAAGTATTTCAAAGAAACAACAAAATGAACTGGACTCCTTGAATAAACATTCACAAACTTTTTATTGATAACATTCAGATAGATAAATTAAGGATCTGTACAGTTTTGTAACGTGCAGAAAATAACATACAGTGGTGCCCCGCAAGACGAATGCCTCGCAAGACGGAAAACTCGCTAGACGAAAGAGTTTTCCGTTTTGGAGGTGCCTCGCAAAACGAATCTGCTATGGGCTTGCTTTGCAAGACGAAAATGTCTTGCGAGTTCCTGGGTTTTTTTCCTTTTCCCTCTTTTTCTAAGTTGCTAAGCCGCTTATCTGCTTATCCGATAAGCTGATAAGCTGCTAAAAGCCGCTAAAGCCGCTAAAAGCCGCTAATAGCGCTAATAGCGCTAATCCGCTAATCCCGTCAATGGGCTTGCTTCGCAAGACGAAAAAACCGCTAGACGAAGAGACTCCCAGAACGGATTCTTTTCGTCTTGCGAGGCACCACTGTATGTTGATAAACCAGAGAGAGGAGCTGAGGGAAGTATGTGGGGGGAGGGGGGTTCATGTTTGTAGGGAGGGGGGAGGAAAAAATAGGGGGGATTTAAGGATGATATGTGGTTTTTTTGATAAAATGTGATGTTGAAATTAATAATAAAAAATATTTAAAAAAAAAAAAAAGGATACAGTGGTGCCTCGCAAGACGAAAAGAATCCGTTCTGGGAGTCTCTTCGTCTAGCGGTTTTTTCGTCTTGCGAAGCAAGCCCATTGACGGGATTAGCGGATTAGCGCTATTAGCGGCTTTTAGCGGCTTTTAGCGGCTTTTAGCGGCTTTTAGCAGCTTATCAGCTTATCGGATAAGCAGATAAGCGGCTTAGCGACTTAGAAAAAGAGGGGGAAAAGGAAAAAAAAAACCCAGGAACTCGCAAGACATTTTCGTCTTGCAAAGCAAGCCCATAGCAGATTCGTTTTGCGAGGCACCTCCAAAACGGAAAACCCTTTCGTCTAGCGAGTTTTCCGTCTTGCGAGGCATTCGTCTTGCGGGGCACCACTGTATTGGACTAGATGGGCTGTTGGCCTCATCCGGCAGTCAGCATCTTCTGATGTTCTGGAACCTCTATCTGATTCCTAGGTTCTGAGGGGTATTTGTCCACTGTGAGAACAGGATTCTGGTCTGATGGACCCACTTTGGCCTGATCCTGAAGTTTCTTCCTAATTTCTCTCTGCTTCCCATTTCTCTAAGCCCCAAATTCAGTTCTCTGGGTTTTGACACGGCTGTGATACATTTTTAAAAACTCCTCATGAAAATTCATCAGTGTTTAAGTGTGAATTTCTTCTAATCTGCACACGCTCCAATGCAATTTAGCCTCTTAAGGCACATTTTTACCAAGCAATCTTGCCTAATATAAGGCACTTTTGTAGTTATTTTCACTAACAGAGGACTAAAAGCCGCACATTCTGGGAAGCAGCAAAAAACATTTTGCTTTCCCAGGGGGGTAAATGAGTCTCTACTACAACTGTCCACTTGTCAGGGTTTTAGCCTTCTTTAAAATGTATTCGTCGTATTTGAATTTTCAGTTATCTTATGTGTGAATCGCCTTGACGGTGGCTTGGAAGGCACCTAATAGATCAATGGTAATAGTAACAATGCCATCTTTATTATTTTATCATTTATTTCATAAAATGTACACTGCTTAAAAACCTCAAAGTGGATTACAAAAGATAAAGCCATCACATCACCCATAAGGGGAATTAGCAACAATAATCTAAAACTTTTCAAAATGCTAAATTAACAATCAACTTAAAAGCAGATTAAAACTTGCGCCAAACTTTCTAAGCAAATGGATAGGCTTGCCTAAACGCCAATGTTTTTAGCAGGCTCTGAAAAGAGTACAGTGAAGGCGCCTGCTTGATCTCAAGAGGCAGGGAGTTCCAAAGTATAACTGCTGCTGAGCTAAAATATCAAGTTCTGGGAAATGTGGAACAGTGGTGGTTCTGTCGATCGAAGCAGCCAAGAGGGGAAAGGCAATCTTGCAGGTAAACTGGTCACAATGTGTAAAGGGCTTTATATACTAACAATAATACTTTTGTTATAAGAAAACTGCTTCTTTTCCCTTATGGGGTATCCAAGAGCCCATATAGAGCCCTTAAGTGGGTTCCCTATCAGTAGGAGAATATAGCAGAGGCCAACCAGAGAATATTGAGAAGCAAAGCAGTTCGTAAGCCTGATCTTTATCGATTTGTTGCAACAGGGTCCTCACTCCCCACACGCAGGAAAGGAGGAGGAACCCAGAACAATGGTGTGCAAGCCCTTATATAGACTCTTGAAATTGCCCGCCCTGTAGCTCAAGACCACCCCTAAAAGAACATCATACATACATCACAGAAGGAGGCGGTCTACAGCAGAAATCCTGTTTGCCAGGATACCTGATAATGGTCACTGGTTGCATTACCTGGACAGCCTGGCCATTCTTTTGTGATGGTAAATACTCAGTTCCTGAATCCAGGTCACAGGCTCACCCTTTTCACCCACAAATACGCCCTTAAGACAGGATTTGCAAGCAAAAAGACAATGGGAAGGCTTTCCCAATTTGCCTCCCTCCCTGCAGAGGAATAAGTAAAGGGACCCCTGACCGTTAGGTCCAGTCGTGACCGACTCTGGGGTTGCGGCACTCATCTCGCTTTACTGGCTGAGGGAGCCGGCGTACAGCTTCCAGGTCATGTGGCCAGCATGACTAAGCCGCTTCTGGCGAACCAGAGCAGAGCAGGGAAACGCTGTTTTCCTTCCCGCCGGAGTGGTACCTATTTATCTACATGCACTGGTGTGCTTTCGAACTGCTAGGTTGGCAGGAGCAGGGACTGAGCAACGGGAGCTCACCCCGTCGCGGGGATTCAAACCGCTGACCTTCTGATCGGCAAGCCCTAGGCTCTCTGGTTTAACTCACAGCGCCACCCGAGTCCAGCAACCAAATCCTAAGAGGGAATCGGGCCCAGTGTCAAAAGACATGACATTATTTTTTTTTATTATTATTATTATTTATTTGCAGTTCAGTTTCAGTCTGCCGTCAATTCTACTCTGCATTCAGCCCTGCCAACATGGGGGTTGCGCAGGAGGTAATCCGGATTAATTCCTCCGGAAAATGGGTGCAGCCCCTTTGCGAGCTCCGCTTGCTGCTCCGCAATCCCACCCCATAGATTCCTCATTCACTAACCCCAGCCCACCCCACCGCCTCGCATCCTCCTCCGCCCCCCCCCCATTTCCACTCCACTCATTCCCCTTGCCTGCCGGGCTCGCTTTTTCCTTCTCCGCCCACCTCTTTAATCCTCTCTTCTGTTGTGTTTGCCGGAGCGTGAACTGCCTTTTCTCTCCCGAATAGGGGGCGTGGAGTGCCAAAAATGCAGAGCTGCGCACACCGACACCCACTTTCCTCTCCCGATGTCGTGTGGCCTCCTCCCTCCTCGGCACGCTTTCCTCCTCCACCTCTCCGGAAAACTTACCTGGAGCAGAAAGGAAGCATCACAATTTTCAGACCGGATTCCTGGTTTTCTGTTGCCCAACTTGGGTCTCGAACCCACGGCCCTAAGAGTCTCCTGTTCTATCCCAGAGGGGTAATGAGGGGTAGTGTTTAGAGTAGGGTTTTCTTCAAGGGGGAGTCATAGACTCCAACCCCACCTAGTCCAACCGCCTGCTCTTGAAATTGCCCACCCTGTAGCTCAAGACCACCCCTAAAAAACCATCATACATACATCACAGAAGGAGGCGGTCTACAGCAGAAATCCTGCTTTGCCAAGATACCTGATAATGGCCACTGATTGCATTACCTGGGCAGCCTGGCCATTCATTTGTGATGGTAAATACTCAGTTCCTGAATCCAGGTCACAGGCTCACCCTATTCATCCACAAATACGCCCTTATGACAGGATTTGCAAGCAAAAAGACAGGGGGAAGACTTTTCCCATTTGCCTCCCTCCCTGCAGAGGAATATTTGAGGTCAATTTGAGAGTCAAAATGGCTTCAGGATAGTTCTCCTGTGCTATTTCAGACACGTGGTTTATATACTTATGTATGTCTTTGCCTTTTATATTTATGAACATTTAATTTATATTTGAGACCCTAGGATTCTTCTAACACTTTGAACCCGGTGTGTGAGCAAATTGGCAACCTACACAGCTCCCTAAGTGCAGAAGTTGCATCCTCTCAGCACTTTTGCTGCAGCACCCTGCGTTCACTCCCTAGCTTCCGGATTGGCTTGAGCACGAAGCAGATGGAGCAACAGGATTCCAACCCCCTGCAATGCAGGAATCTGTTGCCCAATTTGGGACTCGAATCCACAACCCCGAGATTACGAGTCTTCTGTCCTAACAAGTGAGCTATGCCAGAGGGGTAATGGTTAGATTCAAGAGCTACAGGGCAGGGTGAAGGTTATTTTCTGAGCTCCGGGGTGGCGGTAAACTTCTTGTAAAGTGGTTTACAAAAAAGAATTAGACGCCAGGATTATTAGTAATAGCAATGCATTCAATTACCGTATTTTTTGCTCTATAAGACTCACTTTTTCCCTCCTAAAAAGTAAGGGGAAATGTGTGTGCGTCTTATGGAGCGAATGCAGGCTGCGCAGCTATCACAGAAGCCAGAACAGCAAGAGGGATTGCTGCTTTCACTGAGCAGCGATCCCTCTTGCTGTTCTGGCTTCTGAGATTCAGAATATTTTTTTTCTTGTTTTCCTCCTCCAAAAACTAGGTGTGTCTTGTGGTCTGGTGCGTCTTATAGAGCGAAAAATACGGTAATTATAATTTAAAAGCCTCCAGTAAGTTGAAAACACACCAGCATTCTCAATATCTGAGTGGGCTTGTCTAAACAGATGTTTTAAGCAGACACTAGGAAGAGTTCAGTGAAGGTGCCTGCCTGGTTTCAATAGACGGGGAGTTCCAACGGTCAAGCTGTTACAAATGAGGATAAGGTGTTAAGGCAGGGGTCAGCAAACATTTTCAGCAGGGGGCCAGTCCACTGCCCCTCAGACCTTGTGGGGGGCCGGACTGTATTTTGAAAACAAAAACAAAAACCCTGAATGAATTCCTGTGCCCTACAAATAACCCAGAGATGCATTTTAAATAAAAGGACACATTCTACTCATGTAAAAACAGACTGATTCTGTTATGGAAAAATCCAGAATTAGAAGGGGATTGGGCCAGATCCAGCCCCTGGGCCTTAGTTTGCCTACCCATGTGTTAAGGGCTTTGTGGCTCTGTGAGTTAAACCACAGAGCCTAGGACTTGCCGATCAGAAGGTTGGCGGTTCAAATCCCCGCGACGGGGTGAGCTCCCGTTGCTCGGTCCCTGCTCCTGCCAACCTAGCAGTTTGAAAGCACGTCAAAGTGCAAGTAGATAAATAGGTACCGCTGTGGCGGGAAGGTAAATGGCGTTTCTGTGCGCTGCTCTGGTTCGCCAGAAGCGGCTTAGTCCTTCTGGCCACATGACCCGGAAGCTGAACGCCGGCTCCCTCGGCCAGTAAAGCAAGATGAGCACCGCAACCCCAGAGTCAGGCATGACTGGACCTAATGGTCAGGGGTCCTCTTTACCTTTACCTTTATACTAATAGCAACACCTTGAACTCAGCCTGGTAGCAAACTGGCAACCAGGGAAGATCTCTGAGCACAGGCGCTATATGCTGACAAGGTCTCTCTCCTGTCAGCAATCACGCCGCAGCATTCAGCGCTCACTGCAGCTTCTGGACCAAGGGCAAGGGAAACCCCACAGACAGCACATTGCAGGAATCCAGTCTTCACGCACAGTGTGCCCTAGTTTATGCATCCAACAGATGACATTTGAATCGGCAAATAAATGTGGGAAATTGTTGGCCTGGCAAATGAAAAAAAAGACAAAAACTCAACACTATTACGAATTTGGAAGTGGAAGGAAAAAATATACAGAATCCAGTGGAGATTAGGAAGAGTTTCCAGAGATATTTTAAACAACTTTATACACAGGAGAAGCAGAAAGAAATGGACATTGATCGATTTCTGAAAATAAATGGACTACACAAAATCTCTCAGGAAAAACAACTAATGTTGAATTGCAAAATAACGGACCAGGAGGTGGAAGGGGCTATTCAGAACATGCAACTAGGTAAATCCCCAGGACCAGATGGTCTGACTTCAAGATATTACAGATCTTTGAAAGAATGGTTAACACAACCACTGAAGGAAGTCTGTAATGAAATATTGGAAGGGAAAAAGGCACCAGAGTCGTGGAAGGAAGCTTACATTACACTTATACCGAAAACAGAGACTGAAAAGACACAGCTCAAGAACTACCGCCCCATATCGTTGCTAAATGTGGATTATAAAATTTTTGCAGATATTTTGGCTAAAAGATTAAAAAAGGTGTTAGTAGAAGAAATTCATAAAGACCAAGCGGGCTTTCTCCCGGGCAGACATTTGTCTGACAATATGAGGAATATAATTAATATTCTAGAAAAACTTCAAGTGAATATTAATACTAAGGCTGTCTTGATATTTGTGGACGCGGAGAAAGCCTTTGACAACATCTCCTGGAGCTTTATGAAGAAGAATCTACAGGGGATGGGGGTAGGTCAAGGTTTTGAAAACGGTATAGGTGCAATTTATTCAGAACAAAAGGCAAAATTAATTGTGAATAATGTAGTGACAGAAGAGTTTAAGATTGAGAAAGGGACACGACAAGGTTGCCCAATTTCTCCACTGCCTTTTATTTCGGTCCTTGAGGTTTTGTTAAATATGATAAGAAAGGACCAAGAGGTTAAAGGTATACAAGTGGGAGCTAAACAGTATAAACTGAAAGCATTTGCTGATGACTTAGTATTGACCTTACAGGAGCCAGAATCCAGTACAAAAAGGGTATTGGAACTGATTCAAGAATTTGGACAAGTAGCAGGTTTTAAGCTGAATAAGACAAAAACTAAGGTTTTAGAGAAAAATTTAACTGTGAATGAGAGAGAGAAGTTTCAGGAAGAGACAGGACTAACACTGGTTAAGAAAGTGAAATATTTAGGGGTTAACATGACTGCTAAAAATGTGAACTTATTTAAGGACAATTATGAAAAATGTTGGATTGAAGTCAAAAAGGATTTAGAAATATGGTCAAATTTGAAGTTATCATTGTTAGGCCGAATTGCTGTGATAAAAATGAATGTGCTGCCAAGGATGTTGTTTTTGTTTCAAACATTACAAATCTTGGATAAGATGGATTCTTTCAAGAAGTGGCAGAAAGATATTTCCAGATTTGTTTGGCAGGGCAAGAAGCCTCGAATAAAATTTAAGATATTAACCGATGTTAAGAAAGAGGTGGATTTGCCCTGCCAGACTTCAAACTTTATTATGAATCAGCGGCTTTTTGCTGGCTGAGAGAATGGCTACTTCTCGAAAACACTGACGTGTTGGATTTAGAAGGTTTCAATAACGTATTTGGTTGGCATGCATATTTGTGGTACGATAAGGTAAAAGTACATAAAGCGTTTAAAAATCATATTGTCAGAAAAGCATTGTTTAATGTTTGGATAAGATATAAAGATTTCTTAGAAAAGAAAACCCCAAGATGGTTGTCACCAATGGAAGCGAAGGCACAGAAAAAACTCAATATGGAGGCCAAATGGCCGAAATATTGGGAAATTTTGGAACAAGATGGAGACAGATTAAAATTGCAGAGCTTTGAAAAATTGAAAAATAGAGTGTGAGATTGGCTCCATTATTATCAGATAATGGAGGCATATAATCTGGACAAAAAAGTTGGCTTCCAGGTGGAAAAATCAAAATTGGAAACAGAATTGTTAGATTCAAAAAATAAGAATTTGTCAAAAATGTATAACTTGCTGTTGAAATGGAACACTCAGGATGAAACGGTGAAATCAGCTATGATTAAATGGGCACAAGATGTTGGACATAACATAATGATGGCTGACTGGGAACAGTTATGGACCACAGGTATGAAATTTACGGCATGTAATGCCCTAAGAGAAAACTTAATGAAAATGATTTACAGGTGGTACATGACACCAGTCAAGCTTGCAAAAATTTATCATTTGCCCGACAATAAATGTTGGAAATGTAATGAGACTGAAGGTACATTCTTTCACCTTTGGTGGACATGCCCAAGGATTAAGACATTCTGGGAGATGATTTATAATGAAATGAAAAAGGTATTTAAATATACCTTTCTGAAGAAACCAGAGGCCTTTCTCCTGGGCATGGTCAGCCAGTTGGTGCCAAAGAAGGATAGAACCTTTTTTATGTATGCAACAACACCAGCAAGAATACCCATCGCGAAGTATTGGAAGACACAAGATTTACCCACTCGGGAAGAATGGCAGATGAAGTTGATGGACTATATGGAACTGGCGGAAATGACTGGCAGAATCCAAGACCAGGGAGAAGAGTCGGTGGAAGAAGATTGGGAAAAATTCAAAGACTATTTACAGAAATATTGTAAAATTAATGAATGTTAGAAAAATGTTGGAATGAAGTTATATGGCTTTAGTAGAAATGTTATAAGGAATTAAGTACAGATAGGTTAATAGAGCATTAAAGAAGATGGAAAGGAATTGCTGAAATAATTAATAGAACTGGAATACAAAAAGGGAGGTGTGAGGATGTCGCGGAAATAAGTGAGTGAAAGATGGGATAATGAAACTTTGATTTATTTTATTGTTTTTGTTTTGTTTTGCTAACTTAATGTTTTGCATTGTCTTTTTTTTTTTTTAGTGTTTAAGTTTCTGGAAAAATAATAAATATTATTTTTTAAAAAATAGTTT